TGCCCAGACACGCACGCACGCACGGGCGACCGCCCACGCCCACTCCCACGCCAGCGTCCACGCCCGCGCCCTCGCCCGCCCATGCGCGCGCGCAGATTGAAGCACGCATGCGCGCGCGCACGCATGCACGCGGCGCGCCAGCGCACATGCGCCCACACGCACGCACATGCGCTAAAACATACGCGCGCGCACACGTACGCACGCACGCGCGCGCGCGTGCGCAGACGCAGACACAGGCGCATGCGCGCACGCACACGCGCGAGCACGCACGAGCAATCGCGCACCGACGCGCGCCCACAAGCATGCGCGCGCACGCGCGCGAGCGCGCGCGCGCAAACACACGCGCGCGCGCGCAGACGCACGCGCGCGCGGGCGTGCGCCTATTGAAGCGCGCGCCGCAGACGCGCATGCACGCATGCGTTCGCGCGCGCGCGCAGACGCACTCGCGCGCTCTGTGGCGGTCGCGGCCTTGCGCGCGGTGGCAAGGAGGAGAACGAGCCGAGCGCAGCGGCCAAGACGGGCGGGGCGGCCGCCCAAACCTCCTTACTGGCAACGGCTCTGGCTGGGCAATTGGGCGTCGGCTGGTCCGGAGCGACTCTCCAAACGCGGCCGGACCTGGCCCCGTCGGGGCCTCGGGGGCGCCGCCAGAAAGCCGGCCGCGCGCGGGCGCCAGGCTGCGATGGCAAGCCTTGGACTGGCCAACTCCCTGGGGCGACCTCGGGTCTCGGAGGCGGACTCGACGGGCCCGAGTGCCTTCGGTGGCGAGGGGGCCGGCAGCCGCGTGGCCGCCCCGGCGTCGGCGGGGGCCCGGGGCTCGTCGCGGCTCGGGTCGCGTCCGATGGCCCCTGCGGGGGGGCGGCCTTCAGGAAGGCCGCTCGAAGGCCGCTCGGTGCCGGCGCCCGCGCGCTCGCGCTGCGCGGACTGGGGGCGCGCCGCCGTCGCGCGGGCGGGCCGGCATGGGCGGGGGGCGGGGGTTCTGAGCTCAGCGCGGCGGACTGCGCGCGGTGGCCCCGCGCCCGACGGGCGACCGCAGCGGCCCGGCCCCTCTGCCGGCGAAGTGCCCGCCGACGCGGCCCGCGGACAGGGAGTGGCCTCGCGCGATCGAGGGCGGGGCGCCTGCGGCGCAGGGGGGGCGCTGAGAGATTGGCGCGAGCGGATCCCATCGCGACATCCGTTGTCCAGGCGCGGGGGGGCCCGGGCGAGCCCGGGAAGCGGGCGACTCGACGGGGGCGGCGGCGCCCCGCGCTGGCCGCCGCGAGGTGGCCCAGGGCCTCTCGACGACGAGGCGCCGGCCGGGCGACGTCGCGGCGCCAGCCATCGAAGCGCCCGGAATCCCGCCCGTCAACCATGGCCTGGAGCGGGGGATCGGCGCGCGGGCCGGGGGCGCCCGGGGGGGCGACGCGTTGGAGGAACGACTTCCACCAATTCGGCTGCCCCGTTTTCTGCGCAGAAGCGCGCAAGTGCGCGATCAAGTCTTCGCCGGGGAGGGCGGCGCGAAGATCGCCGTGGAGATGGCCCGAGGCGGAGATGGACTGGGCTGGCCGAGAGGGGCCTCCGCTTGGCTCATAGCCGCGGGCGCGCCCCAAGATGGCGCCGAGCTGCTCGTCGTCCCAGCGCGATGGGGCCCGCCTGGGTGATCTTCCACCACTGGGACGCGTTCGCGCCAGAACCTGGCCTGGATTCAGCTAGGCCGCGCGCGGGCGTTGACGACCTGGGCCCCTGCGCGGCGCGGGGGTCCTGGATAGGCGCTCGCGCGAACTCGGCGAGCGGGCCCGGCGCCGGCGGGGCAGAGTCGGCGTCGGGGCCTGAAGGCTGAGGACAATTAAATCGCCCCGACCGACGGAGAGGACGCTGGGCCCCTGCAAAGTCTGAGAATATACGTCGCCGCCACTGGAGCACGGGGCGGCCGCGATCGCCGTTGCCGCGCGGTTTGTTCGGCCGCTTGGCCGGGCCGCGCGCCCCCCTGCGCGCGAAAGCTGCCCTTGCGCCAGATGATGGGGCTCGTCGTGGACACAGGGGGGGCCGCTGGCGCGGGGCTCAAAAGGTGCAAAGATCGCCCGCGGCGCCGGGCCCCCCCCCCGGCCGCCGGAGTCGTCGGCGGGATCAGCGGTGCAGGGGGAGGGAAAGGCGGGCTCAACTTCGTCGATTTGCACGTCGGACACCCCGCTACATCACATACCCAATGTGATCAAAAGTCATGCATCAAACATCGCCCCAAATGGAATGGCAGTTCTGGAAAGGAGACGAAATATACTACAACGAGAGACGCGCATGACGTGGAATCGCGGATTGACAAATATGGTAGAGTTATGTTGAAGAGCACTGAAGCTTGTGGAAACGCCCACGTTAGAAAGATGCCCAACGCTCACGCGTTCCATGAGATGAAGCTCGCCACCACTCTTTTTGGACCTGAAGGCTCGCGCGTGCGATTGTCTCAGCGGATGGCGCGCTCGCCGTCGAAGTCTGCGCAACCGCTTGCAGCTCTGTCTGGGGGCCTGGGAGTTGAAAAGGATCCGACTCTGATTCCCGACGGCCGAGTTCACGTGTCTGCGCGCCCCCTGGGCCCGCCGCTTCGAGTCCGATATCCAAGCGCTTCTGTGCGCAGACGTTTGGACCGACCAGCTCGACGAGGTAAATGGCAATATTGTCTAACTTCTGAATCGCGAGTCGTCCGTCAAACCCATGCGTCCTTCGAGCGCGCGTTCGATTGGGCCTTAAAGAATACCCGAATATGAAGAATAGGAGCACGGAGCAGCGACGGGGTCTGCAGATGCCCAGCACTGGAGGCGGATGGGCTACCTTGCACACTGTAGCTAGGCATTGGAAAAGCCACGGATCATCGTGCGCACAACGATGTGGACACGCATGGCGTTCAACGCGCAGCTCGAATCACGGCAATAAGAACAACTGGTTTGCACGCAACATCGTCCTCAAACACGCGGCCGCAGCATCTAGCAAAATAGAATAAGCGCCCTGAAGCGTCTGGAGCGCTGTCTGTTTCGGAACTTTTGGGGCTGCGGCTACACGGTGCCCGATCGCGCAATGCACGTTGCAGCCGCTGAAGATGTCCGCCGGCATGCGCAGGTCGGGCACGCGCGCCCCACTTGCTCCCAAACCGCGAGATTAACTTCTCGCGTCCGCCCGCGGCTTCTCCACCGGCCGCGAGGGCGGCGCCCCGCCAAGAGCGAAGCAACCCAACGAGGATGCCGGAGGAGGACTCGATCGAGAGCTGCTGAAGCAACTGAGGTCCATACTCTGGGTGTCTTATTAAGCGTGGGGGGTAATTGCCCACCCGACGGGGGTCAGCCTCGCGTCGTCGCCGCGCCGCGACGGGGGTCGGAAGGCCTTTGGCGCGCTGTGGCTGCGCGCGACGGGGGTCGATGTGGGGCCGTCGGCGGGGGCGGCGCCCCCCCGGCGCGCATCAAGAGACTCTGAGTAATCACGACCCTGGAATTCGAAACGCATGTGACCAAGTTGCCCCACAACGGTGTGGGTATGACCACCACCGCGAACGACATTCAGAAGTTATGCGGCAAGGCAATCAAGTATGCCTGGGGCGGCAACAACATGGGCAGGGCACATGTACATTTGTTGGATTCATTGGGGCGATCGCACGTGCTTCTTCGCGAAGAGCGTCTCCCAAGACATCCTGGGCTTATCACGGAGCGTTTCAAACTCAATTTGCAGGCCTGCTAGGACCCGTCGAGCAAACGAGGAGTGGTGCGAGTTCTGCGGCTATAGCAAGACCTGCGACAGCGAGGATGCGAAGGTGAACGACATGCGCGGCCAAAGCCAGGTGGGGAAGGATCTCGGGGGGGCTTCCACTTTACAGCGGGAAAGGTCGGGTCACGCCCGCTTGAGGTCCAAATCCCCCTCCCAAAAAACTGCGAGCTGATGAAGTCCAACCGCGTATTTGTAACATCATGTGGGCAATGGGGGCAGTAGCCAAACACGGACGCGCACCAAAGGGCACCATGGTCAGGAAGGCGGGCAAAAAGTAGTGACCCGCGTGAGTCGTCCCACCGAGACGGTGGGTGACGGTCACCCCTCGGAAAATCACCGCGAAGGGGGCGAGGGAGCCGTCAGTTTCATCTCCGAGTGAATCACCTTTGAGAGCTGCAGCAATGAAGCTCGACAACAGTGAAGGCCCAAGTCAAAATCTCAGCCAAACCGATGCCTCATTCTCTTGGTCGAGTGGGTATTGCAAGCATGTGCTACGTCATGTGTGTTGTTTGTGGCGTTCGAGCGTGGGCCTCGGCGACTCCTGTGAGAAATAAGTATATGAGCATCCTGATATCTACGTCGCAACTGACTCAAGAAACCCTAGGCCAAGTGCCGCGAAAATTTGGTAGCCGAAAAATCACGAGCGAATGCCGTTCTGTGTAGAATCGCATTGATTGTAATATGTCTCAAAAAGTAAAAGCACTGAGCCGCGTTCGTGGTGCGAGTTTGTGCAATGGCCGGCAATAAACAATATACCTTTACGTGCACGGCGTGTGCGGATTTCCTTCGCCACCTCAATCGTTAGAGACCAGTACGCCAGCCTGAAGTGACGTTGTCGCCTGGATTGACACCAAGTGCTGAGCCACGGCGCGAGCTCGCTACTGCCATCCTGTTGATGGGAATGTGGCCCATACCGAGACTTGCATGGATCAGCAGCGTGGTTATGGGCAGCGAGACACTTGCTTGCCCGAACACCTGCATTTCATGATTGCCCTCTTCTTAAGTGCAAGTCTTTTCCCTGATACTTACCATGCGACCGGCTATCCAGAACCAGTAAATCCGCCGACCCTTCGGCCTGTGTGAGACGCAAATATGTTTGAATCGTCGTCGTCACCTCCAAAAATAAAAAAAGAGGAACAAGGGAGAGGAGCATCGCAGTTAGATCGATTCCCCGTCATGGGGGGGGGGCGCCAGCGGGGGCTTCGGGGGAGGTCCCACCTTCAGGGTCGGCGGCACTGGCCGCAAGGCCTTCGCAACATGTTTCAATCCTCGGTGGCCTTCAAAATGGCATCCAAGTGCCCCCAGGTGAACGTGTCCGTCTCCAGTCCTTTGCTCATGTCCTAGGGGAGTAGGGGCGGGGCCAGGAGAAGGACAGAGTGAAGGGGAGGACAAGAATGGTGGGACGAGGGGAGAAAATAATCACCAAGGGAAGATAAGAACCAGAGGAAGAGAATGGCTACGGAGAGGCGGCAGAGGAACGGGAAGAAGGCGGAGGCATACTGGGGAGCAGCTGGAGCAGGGGGCAGAAAGGGCGGACCAGGAAGGGGGTAAGGGAGGGGCGGACGACGAAGAGAGGAGGGCAGTAGCGGGAGAATCAGGACAAGGAGCACGAGGGATAGGCGAGGAGGGGCACGCATGAAGAATGTGGATGGGAAGGACCGGCAGGGTAATGTTTACGAGAAGGGGGAGAAGGGGGATCACGATGCGACAAATATGGGGATCATCACGAATCCTCAGGATTGTATACACTTGTCGATTTGCGCGTGCCCTCCTTGCGACAAGGCCATGCTAATCTTCCCTGTATTGTTCCACTTTTAACAAATGATCCCCGAAAGGAATCTATAAGTATGGGGATGATAACTAACACCGTCGGAAAGCTGTGGATCAGAGGCACCGGCCGTAACAAGGAGGATCAGGACGAGGAACGGCAGACTAGTGGTGCACATGGACAGGCCTGCTACGAGGCCTTCGAGGATGACAAGGGTGGAAGAGGCGCCGAAACTACATGCCCTGGCCAGTCCGACCTGCCAGCCTCACCAACCCAACGAACCAAACCAAACAACCAGCCCACCTGCCAACCGGCCATCCCGCCAACCCCCGCCGCCTGGCTGCCTTCCGTCACCACCGAGAGGGGGAGGGGAACGCTTCTTGCCAGCGAAGCATGGACAACCCGCCCTCCCGGGGCCCGGCGGGACAGCGGGGGGAGGCTGAATCGTGCCGAGCCGTGGGGGACCGGGCTTCCCGCCGGGGAGCGTCTGGGACGTTCTGGGCCCTCGAAGGGCGACAGTCGTCGCTTTTGGCGGCCGGACCCAGGACAGAATAACTTCAAGAGCATGAGACCCTCCGCCGGCCAAACTGGAAAGCATTCGAGGGTAGCCTCCCCATGGATGCACAAGAACGGCCAACGAACATGAAGCACATTAGGGCACCCTCCATGAACCGACCTCTTGGGGACGCACGCGGGTCAATCAAAACCCGGGTCAATCAAGCCTTGAAACATCTTGCAAGATCCTGCAGGATACTGCACGCCAGCCCGGGTCAATGCAACCCTGGCTCTGAAGGATCCTGCGAGATCTGGCATTCTGACTGACACCAGTTTGCATTGACCCCCGTCCCAAGGCCCCCGAACCTCGATCTTATACCTCGGTCCGACCGTACCTTTCCCCGCACCCGCGTTTTCCACGGAGAAGGCCCCCGGCCGCGCAAGGGCGACACTGTCGTCACTTTCACAATCACCCCGTATAATAGGGATGCGCGATAAGGATGCAAGGGCCTTGGAAGGCCATGTCAACACTTTGCGGGCGGGGCGCGGCCAGCGAAAGCGGCAAATGATGGGCCGAAGGGGAAGGATGCAAAGGTACCGTCGGTCGGACGAAGTGGGTAAAAACATGAATCTGGAAGGCGCTGTAAGCCTCTGGACATATATTGAACTTCCGCCCGCCCCCTGAATAGGAACGAAGAAGGGAAGCCACTCGATCATTGAAGGAGGAAGGCGCCTAAAGTGGATTGGGAATCCGAAAATCCAGAAGCGTCTATTCTCAACGACCGACGGGTAAGCTTGGAGAATGGCTGACCCCTACTATGCGGGTTGACTGTACCCTCCGCCATCTCTGTTTAATTCAAGCTTCGCGCGGCCCGCTTAGCTTCGACCGGAAGAGGTGCGCTCTCGACCCGCGAATGAAAAACTGTACCCTCCGCCAGGATGCACAAGAACATCCAACGAACACGGAGAACAGAAGGGCACCCTCCCCGAACCGAACCCGATCTTCGACCACGGTCTGGCCGTACCTTCCTCGGGAGTCGCTTCGCAGGGGGGCGTGAGGGGGTGGAAGGAAGGTTCCCTTCTCGGGCCCTGGAGGCCCCCTTTGGGGCCCCTTCAGGGGCCCTAGCGACCCCTTTGAGGCCTCGCTGCCCTCCCCCCCCATGAATCTTACTAGCCTGGAGCATATCCCTATCCCTATGCTGGGCATCTCCTCATCACAATGCCAATCTGACGGATGCCCTCAGTTTTTCAGGGCGCATCCCTGAGATTGTCGTCGCCTTTTGGCGTGTCAACCTTAGGGATAGGGATAAGTTCGAGGCTGGTGAGAATCGCCCCCCCCCCTGAGCGACGCCCAGCTTTCCCCGCGCCCGCGCTCGGCCACGGAGAACGGCCCCCCCAAGGGTGCGGAGAGACCCGTGCTCGCCACGGAGAGGACGCCTCCCCCTTCCTCGGAGCGGTCGCCGCTCTCTTCGGGCCCCGCACAATGCGTCGCCCCCCCCCCCCCAGCCCCACCACGCGACGCCCAGCTCTCCCCCGCGCCCGCGCTCGCCGCGGAGGAAAGCCTCCCCCCCCCCCTCCCCCCCCTCTCCTGGAAGGCGGCATCGCCGCTCTGCGGGCCCCGCGCAGAGCGGCGCTCCCTCCTTTCTTCGTCGGAGGGCGCGGGACGGGACGGCCAGGGCTGGAGGGCAGGCCCAGACCGCACGGCGGCGACGGGGGGACCGCCGCTGGGCCAGCGAGGGGAACCGCGCGCGCAGCCAGGCTCGCCAGCCCGAGTCAGTGCAACCCTGGCTCGGCAGGATCCTGCGAGATCCGGCGCCCTGACTGACCCCCGTGCGCGTTGGCCCCCGATCCTCGATCTCATACCTCGGTCCCACCGCACCGTTCCCCGCGCCCGCGTTCTCCACGGAGAAGGCCCCCGGCCGCGCAAGGGCGACACTGTCGTCACTTTTACAGTCAACCCGTATAATGGGGATGCGCGATAAGGATGCAAGGGCCTTGGATGGCCAGCGAAAGCGGCAAATGATGGGCCGAAGGGGAAGGATGCAAGGGTACCGTCGGTCGGACGAAAGGGGTAAAAGCATGAATCTGGAAGGCGCTGTAAGCCGCTGGACATGTATTGACCTTCCGCCCGCCCCCTGAATAGGAACGAAGAAGGGAAGCCACTCGATCATTGAAGGATGGGCCGAAGGGGAAAGAAGCAAGGGTAGCCTTGGGAGTAGCTTCCACGGTAAAGGAGTAAGAGGACGAGGGGAAGCAGAAAAATGGTCATGAGACGTGGCGGCAAGCGGACGAGCAGGAGGAGGAAGGGGAACAAAACGCGAAACGGGAAGAGTAGGAGGAATAGACCGGAGAGGAGGGGGACGAGGAGGAGGAGCAGAGAAGCAGAATAAGCAGGAGGATGCGGACGACGACGACGGCAGACGACGAGAAGGCAGAGGAGGAGGGTGAGGAACAAGAAGCACCAGAGGAAGGAGGAGGAGACCGCACGACGCTCCCAAGAGTAAACCTTGGTAAACTTGACCAAATTGGCTTCTACCCCCGTGAGGGGCGTTGCAGGGTAGAAGATCAGGATCGCAGGGCTTAATGCCCGCTTTTGCTCGACGATGGAAAGGCCGGTGGCGAGCATCAGATTCGCCAGCTGCGACAGCGTGGCATGTACAAGCGGTTTCCCGTGCTGTGTCCGACCCCGCTGTCTTTTCCACCTGCGCCCCTCTGTCAGACTACCCAGAGCGAACAATGCGCACTGCCGCTTTGCCGCGTGCAGCGTGAGGTCTGGAAGCGCTCGATGGAATCACTGAAGCGTTGTTCTTGCGTCGTGTCCACCGTGTCAGGACTTGCCGTCGCTCGGACGTCCATTTCCTGCGCATTTTTCGGTTTCGTGCGTGTTTTTTTTGCCCGATGGTCCAGGATGGTCCTCAATGGTTCTCGACGAGAAAAAATGCACACGTCCGAGCGATGCCAAGAGGAGGAGAAGCGCAGCTGGATGTAGAGAGGAGGCACGCATCTTTGCGGCCGTATTCCAGAATGTTTGGTGCAACAATGTCGAATGCCTCATGGCAGCCCGATCCAAGCGAAGAACACCACAAACTGGTCTTGATATCGCCCGCTTGCTCTTGCGGAAAGGTCTGTTGGGAATACCGCGTTAAGACCCTGCGTATGTCCCTTTCCCCAGCTCGGGGAGGCATCGTGGACTTCCACTTCGGTTGACCCCAAAGGAGGTCCACCTGAAAGGGGATGGTGCAACAACTTGGGGCAATAGTATTGCAAATGCATTGGGCCGGACAATTGTATTGCATCGTATTGCAACTTGGGTCTTGCACGCGGCACTCCAGCGATACATGTGCGTCCCGGAATGTATTGCACGCCCCAAACCTATTGCAACCCACCAATCTATTGCACCAGATCTGTTACACCACCACCTTGTCGCTCGACCCCCTGTTTTGGGTCAACCGCTGAGCCAGAAATCATGCTGGCCCTGGGCGAGAGAGTCATTCTGAACGGCTGGAGCAGAGCGGCGATCCTGAAATGAGGCCAACGCTGAAACATCGAACATCGAGAATGTTCAAACTAGCAAGAACATAGAAATGCTAAACAATGCAATCCAGCGTGAAACGTAACAATACCACGGTGAGGGCGCGACTCTTTCGGGACGCAGTCGAGAGAGAGAGGAGAGCAATACTCAGATTCAACAATTGTGGAGGGGAAAGCCATGGGCGCAAGACCGGGCCGTCCAAGCGTTGCCGCATCATTGCCGCTTGGGGGGTCCGCCGAAGATGCGCCGCGTTGCCACCCGTTGCAGCCTCGCTTCCGCGTCGCCACATCGCTTTCACCACATCGCTTGCATCTCATAGCTTACGCCACATAGCGTGCACATCCACAATGCGATAACCCATTGTTGCGTGCCAGCGCTGGCCAGCATTGAACAAAGATGAAGGGGAGGGCCATGGGGTGAGAGACCGTGCCCTCCTCCGAGTGCAACTCCGCAGTCGCGGTGCTCCCCATCTGCGTCGGGGAGTGGGAGTACGCCTTCTTATATCCGCGCAAGCCCTGAAGCTCGTCCTCGGTCCAGTCAGCGAAGTGGTTGAGCTGCGCCTAGCAAGGGGGGGTCGGGCGCAACTCCTGAGGAGGCCTTCGTAAGAAACGTGAAGGCTCAATAAATGCCCGATGAGGGGGCCATTCAACCCGATCAGCCCAGATTCAGCCTGGGATTTATACGCATTCAGCGGGATCAAGCATGCCTAAGCCATACTAGCTGGGAAAATGCAAAAATCTACCAGCTTTTTGACCACGGATACAGCAGTGCCGATACAGAAATCCTCCAATCCTCTGCGCGTGAATGATTTTAGAGACTTTCTCCTCCAACCCCCCTTCTTCCCCGTCGGGGATGGGGAGGGGTCAACACTGTTCCTTCTTACGCAACACCCCCCCCACCAGCAGACCTGCGACAAAGCTGGGACACTGCCAACATTCTCCCACCATCCCTGGCAAAACACGTGCAAAATGCATGTTGCACCAACATCTGGATCATGCGCGGGCGCCCCGCGATCTCTTGGCATGCTTCCGACAGAGACGGCAGAGGGGGCTGGCATACATTACCTGCTGCGTGCAGGCCCACCCGCCCTGTCGAAAACATGTGCAACATGAATGTGGGCGCACACGTGTGCAATACACAATGCTGGCAAGCCCACCGTCACTGCGCCAAGGCTTCTGACAGGGATGGTGGAGGGCCGACGTATTGCCCAATGTGGCGCACCAATGACCGTCGGTTGTCGATGGCGGCCCCTACCTATGCTGAGACTCGGGTGCTACTTCTGTTGCGGGAGGGCGGGTGGGAGTGAGCGGGACAGTTTGCGTTCCCGTTAGGAACTTGATACTTGATCCCTCCCTCCATCGCCCCCCCCTGGACCTGGACAGGGGGGCCGCGACCGATCGAAGTGTCAGAGATGGTCTCAGCGAGAAAACACAACTACTAAGATGTTATACAATGTTTGGCTCGGGGGGGGGGGGCAAGGCTAATGCAGTACCCCCCCCTTCTTTGATCGAGCTCCTCCAAGGTGGCCCCCCAAGGCTCCCGAGGGTACCCGAAGAGTGCCCCAAGTGGCGCCCAGGAGGCCCTAAGAGGTCCCCAAGAGGTCCCCTAGAGACCAACCAGATACCCCCCAAGGGCCCCCCAAGGCTCCCCCGAAGCACCCGAGACGCTCCGAGAGTCCCCCGGAACCGCCGAGAGGCCCCCGAGACACCCCAAGAAGACTCCAAGAAGCTCCCAAGAGACATCCGAAGAGACTCCGAGATGCATCCAAGAGGCCTCGGGCCCCACCGCCTTCTCCTCCTCCTCTTCCTCCTGCTCCTCCATCTCTTCCTCCTCCTCCTCGGCCTCCTCCTCTTCCTCCTCCTCCTCCTCCTCCTCCTCCTCCTCCTCCTCCTGTTCATCCACCTATTGCTCCTCCTCCCTCCTTTCTCCCCCTCCCCCTCCCCTTCCGTCTCCTCCTCCAATTCCCCCTCCATCCTCCCCCTCTTGGGATATGACGGCTCCCCCAGCCCTCCATTCCACTAAGACTATCTGCTCCTCCGCATCCCTGATCAGGACAACTCGCCTGGGCATCGTTTCTGGACGGGCTGGTGGGGTTACTTTTTGGTCGCGGCCGCGAGCGAGTTGCGGGGGAGCTGACAGCAGGGGACATCCTGGCTGGTGGGGTTACTCGAAGCGTCTAGAATGAAACCTCCCACGAATTGCATCCGGGGAAGGGAAGGCAACGATCGGCAGCAGGGAACAGAACAACGACCAGGTCGGCGGTCGGCTCCCTCCGCGGGAACTGCTTAAGTGCGACTGGAGCCGCCCGAGCAGGGCCGCACTGATCCAGGCCGGCACTCGGGCCTCCCTGGCATTACTCGACGTGACTCGAACAGCCCGAACGATAGCCAGACATGCCTCGATGCTAGGCGAGTTGCAACGATAGGGGAGGCGGAGGAGGAGGAGGAGGAGGAGGAGGAGGAACATGAGGAGGAGGAGGAGGAGGAGGAGGAGGAGGAGGAGGAGTAGGAGGAGGAGGAGGAGGAGGAGAGAGGAGGAGGAGGGGGGGAGGGAATTGCTCAGGGGGGGCACCACCGGGCTGGCATCGGCGAGGCGGGCCCTCGACGGCAGATCCGCGGGGCCCCCGGGCGGGGCGGGCCGCCGGGCCCCCGTCGACGACGGGTGGCGGCGGGGGGGGGCGAGGCGTCCCCCCCTCCTCCTCCTCCTCCTCCTCCTCCTCCTCATCCTCCTCCTCCTCCTCCTCCTACTCCTCCTACTCCTCCTACTCCTCCTACCCCCCCCGCCGCCACCCGTCGTCGTGGTCGTCGTCGTCGTGGTCGTCGTCGTCGCGTTTCCGCTCTCGTCTCCGGCGGCCGTGCGGGACGACCCGGGCACCCCGCGGCCGTGCACGCGGCCGTGGCGGTGGGGGTGGGGGGGCGAGTCGACCCCCTCCCCCCGCCCGGAGCCAGTCCCCTCTGAAGGGGCCCTGGCACACGCACACGCACACGCACACGCACACGCACACGCACACGCACACGCACACGCACACGCACACGCACACGCACACGCACACGCACACGCACACGCACACGCACGCACGCGCACGCGCACGCGCACGCGCACGCGCACGCGCACGCGCACGCGCACGCGCACGCGCACGCGCACGCGCACGCGCACGCGCACGCGCACGCGCACGCGCACGCGCACGCGCACGCGCACGCACGCGCACGCGCACGCGCACGCGCACGCGCACGCGCACGCGCACGCGCACGCGCAGGCGCACGCGCACGCGCACGCGCGCGCGCACGCGCACGCGCGCACGCACGCACGCACGCACACACGCACACACAGACACACAGACACACAGACACACAGACACACAGACACACAGACACACAGACACACACACACACACACACACACACAGCACACACACACACACAGCACACACACACAAATAACTAACTAGACACAAGTAACAGGGATCCCCACATGTTCCCATGTTTTCTGGGCTTTTGTGTCTTCCCCCCCCCGCTTCCCATAGTTTCCCATATTTTTTCTTGGGGATCGACGATGAATTTGTGTCTGTGTGTGTTTTCCCTCCTGACCCTCTCCTGACGCTGCCCCGTGGGGTACGGCGAGATCGCGTCGTGACGACTTGCCCGTGTCGGTTCCTGCCCCGTCGTCGTGGCGACCTGCCTGTGGCGGTTCCTGGCGCTGCAGGTAGCGCTCAGGCGTGCGCGAACGCGTGCAACGCGCCCCCCGCCCCCCCACACGAGGAACTCCAGACCAAGTGTGCGGCCACAGCCTCGCTCACAGGGCGCCTACACTGACGCACCTTCGCCACAGCTGCAAAACGTTGACATACCAAATCAATAGTTGTGCGGGCTGGGGTCGGTTTCCCGCTGTTCAGTGAGCGGGGGACGATCAACTCGCATAAACATAAACTTCTGGCGCTCCGCGCGGACTTCCTGGATCGGTGTTGGACCCCCCCTCCCTGCCGCGCGGAGCGCGCCAGGGGCGGCGCCGGAAGCGCCGCCAGGGGGGTCCAGCGCGGACACGAGACCTCCGCGCGGACCTCAGAGGTGTCATGTTTATGCCATCCTCCGTTCCCCTACTTCTGACGCCGCATGGAGCGCTCAGACGTGAGTTACCAGCCTCGATCGTATCCCTATCCCTAAGATTGACGCGCCAAAAGGCGATGACAATCTTAGGGATCCACCCTCAAACAATAAGGGAATCCCTGAGATTGGCATCGTGATGAGGCGATGCCGAACATAGGGATAGGGATATGTTTAGAGGCCTCCCAGATGGGGTTCCAAGAGATGGGGTCGGAAGATCGTGCCGCATCGCCGATACATCGGCGATGCATCGGCGATGCACCGGCGATGCATCGTCGACGTGGGCGATGTATCGGCGACGCCAGCGTGGAGAAAATCGGGCTTCCGCATCGCGCCGCACTGTTGATGCATCGGCGATGCGGCGCGATCCTCCGACCACATCTACTCCGACCCCATCTGGGAGGCCTAGAATGTTCCAGGCTGGTAAGTGAGAGCGAGCACGGCCCTCTGGCAGTGCCGATCGCTGGATGCTGGCCGACTCCGGGCCACGGGTGGCCCGCAGCCCGGACCGCCCGCGCCAAAGCTGTCGGCCCGCCGCGCCCCGGCTTGGCACGGGCGCGCCGTGCAGCCGCGACCCTGCCACGGGGCACGAGGAGCCCTGGAGTGAGGAGGAGAAAGAGGAGGAGGAGGAACAGGAGGAGGAGGAGGAGGAGGAGGGAGGAGGAGGGAGGAGGGAGGAGGGAGGAGGATCGAGGAGGAGGAGGAGGCTTTTCGACGATCTCTACGGCTGCAAGCAGAGCTGCAACACGCACGGCCGCAGACGAGGAGTCGGAGAACGACGCGCAAAGATCGGCGACCCCGAAAGGTGTGGTTTGCAAAGGCGCGGTGCGCAACCGGCACCCTTGGGTTAGTTCGGGCATATCCTCCTACAGGCGGAACTTGGAAGAACAATAAAACATAATCAAACAATACTCACAAAGAGCCAAAAATACTCAACCATTGAAAAATAGTTCCATACCATTCATTTTTTACAATTTTTGAATTGTCCTTCTGTAGAGGGGGGGCATTCCCGACTTAACCCTTGAGCTCAGAGCGGGGCCCCTCCCTGGCCCCCCCGTGGCAAGGACTCGCCCAGACTCTCGAGGGAGTCCGAGGAGTATCGCGGGGGATCTTCCAGGAGGTCCTCCAAGGATCTCCGAGAGGCCTCCGAGAAGCGCTACGTCCACGACCCGGGTGCGGATGGCGGGATGGGCAGAAGGCCGCCAGTTCCGCCGCCCCCTGTTCCTTGAAAGAGGGGCTGTGGCGTGCTGAGTGAAAATCGTTCGAACCCTTGGGAAGGGTTCCCATTGCTCTCATAGGTGGCGACATCCAAACCCTACCTCCACAACTACCGATTCTCCTGGATCGATGAGGGGCGCGTGCTCGACGAATGCCAAACCCTACACCCTACCGCCCATCGAGATGCCTTACTCGTTGATCGGCGAGGGCAGGGTTCGGATTTCGCTGCCGATCTCAGCCTC